AACTGATTAAAGTGGCAAAGATGCCATCAATACAAAATTTATAATAAAATTTTGTTTTCTTGGCTCTTGTTTATTGAAACTCCGATCTCTGTATACTGCTTCCTATTTCAGTTCATTTGAATCTGTAGTTTCGTTCAAGCAGAGTAGTATTGAGAATCTTCAAAGATCGATTGAGAATCTTCAAAGCCAATTAGATCAGTTGAAGCCTGAATTGAGGAGCAATTGATGTAAGTAAACTAATTATCTTCAATTACTTTTTTAAGAATATGAAGGTTTAGTTTTAAAGATCGATGGCTGGACTTTTCATTTAGCGAAATAGCAATAGTTACTAAATAAATATTCCTGGAGTTTTCTGAAACATTATCAGAAAAGTAGTGTATTGATCAGTAGAATTGTTTGGCTTCCATTTTGATCTTCAGTAAAATACAAAGAGAAGGATGATCGTTTGTCTTAATAGAAGTCTAAAATCAAACAAGTCTTAGTTTAAAGCGAAAAAGTAGACTAAAATTTGAATTGTTGAGACCGATATCTGGTAGAGTTTTCCTTCATATAGGGTTCCAAATATTTTTGAGATAAGTTAAAGTAGATGTCTATAATCGGTAATGGAAATTTAAGAAAGAAATCTACCATTTTTCATATATGTTACATGATAAAGTCTTGCAACATTATGTTGCAAAGATAAATTTCCTCACTTTGGAACAACCTGGATCCTATTTTAAAGCCCATTTGTTTAAACAAAATACCCCATATTGTTGTTTATAAATTTTTTAATTTCTACATAAATTTGTTATTATTTTTTAACAAATATTTATATAACGTTTCTTTTATTTATTATTTATTATTTATTATTTTTTTGCACACAATTTATTTATAATTTTTATTTATTTTCTTTTTATGTTCGAAAAAAAAAGTATTTTTGTTTTCTTTCTTTTTTGGATTTCTTCTTCATAACAGAAGCTTGCATGTCTTGTGTAATTCTTCAACGAAGCAAAAATTTCTCGCCACCATACTCGAAATCATAATAATGTTGATGAAGATGAATCTATCTATATAGCTTTATAACAGTTAAACGTTATGGTCAGTTCAAGATTGTGTTAATTGTTGGCGGAACAAAGATTTTTGTTTTTTTCTTAATTTCAACATAAAATTAGATCAATTTTACTAATGGCAGCAGCAGCTACAAAGAGATAATGTTAGTGTAAGACGTTGTAAATCTATATTTGCTAAAAAAAAAACAAGTGGGATGCTATCAATCAATTACTCACTAATAGAGAAATAAACCAAAAGTATTATTAGCCTATAAAACTAACTCCATAGGCCTGTACATAACTGAAATTACTTTCTTCTAAACTTTAGCTTAAGGCGTGTTAAATCAATGCCAGAGATATTGCTTTCTATAGTAAAATTTTTAACGTTCTATAGAATAGCACTTAACTTTGACATGGTTTTTGGTAAGATTACTTTTTTCCCCCAGTTATGGCTAACATCTTACGTTGCAATTGGAACGCTAATAAATAAAAATCTAATGACAGCTAGTAAATTATAGTTATAGTATAGGCTCTATATGTTACAGTTCTTAACAGATTTTTATTCTAACTGTTTTGGCGCAAGTTAAAGTATTAACATAACCATGACATATGTTTGAGATTTTAAGTTACAAGTTCATATTAAGTTTCGTTTAGCCAGGTATTAAGTTTTATTTTCTTTGGTTTTGCGTTAACATAAATTCATAGCGTGACAATTATTTTACACAAAAAAGTAGATTTATAAGCCATACATGATTCTATCTAATTTGTGAAAATTTTCAAAAGATAAGAAAACTGGTATTTTGAATTTTGAAGAATTTTTGAGAGTTGCAATGTTAGCTTTGACTGGACTTTTTGTTAATTAATTGCTGCAATTAATTTGGTTTTTAAGCTAATTTCAATAAAACGTTATAATCATTAGCAAGTTTATACTTGTTTAAGTCGACTATTATGTACCCTTTACCTATACATCCGACCACAAGAATTCTCTTCAGTAAAACATATTCAGGGATATCAATTATTGCAATGCACTGGAGAAGCATTATTAAGAGACAATCCCCAACATCTAATGATGAAAAACCAAGTTGAAATTGATGATCATTTAATGAATGATACCATTACCCTCACAGATCTGGCTAAACTGTCAATCTCTGTTCATTCATTATACAAAATCGATGATCGTTTCAGTTGATCAGTGATTCCATTAACATGCAATGAAAAGAACCAAGCTTCTGGACATCCACATGCTGAATAACTGATAGCTATACATTCGGAAACATGTCTCAAGTAAAAAGCATAAACTCACAGACCAGACTAAACCCTTATAATTCATTATACAAAATCGATGATCGTTGATCAGTGAAAAGAACCAAGCTTCTGGACTTCCACGTTCTGGATCACTGATCGCTATACATACCGAAGTATACATTTTTTTGTAATTCCATACGAAAGCAAGTCTAAAGTGAAAAGCATAAGCAAAGTAGATGATCGTTTGCATTATCAATTGATCTATTATACCAATCTCGCCATTTAAAGTACAATTAGCAAGGATCTTTGTTAGCACAAATTCATGAATTGGCCACAGAAAGGACTCTGAACATTTTGAAGTCTAAAGTGAAAAGCATAAGCAAAGTAGATGATCGTTTGCATTATCAATTGATCTATTCTACCAATCTCGCCATTTAAAGTACAATTAGCAAGGATCTTTGTTAGCACAAATTCATGAATTGGCCACAGAAAGGACTCTGAACATTTTGAAGTCTGAGTTTTTAAAACGTGATTTGTCGCTTTAGATCTTAAAGCATTTTAGATATGATAACTCATTGCCCAAATGTTCTGCCGCAAGCCTACACATATCTATAGTGATATCCTCACTTCCAGCTGTAGAAAGAGTTCCATTATATAGAGGATCCAGAGAGTTTCCCAATAAATTAAACTTTTGGAGTCATATAACAAAGATATCAATGCTGTAAATTCTGAGGTTTGAGACAACAACGGACTTGGTTGGTTGGTTTGTAGTTCAGGCTGTAATAGATACACAAGTGGGCCTTTCTGGTCCTTTGTGATACCTGTAAGTATATTATAAGGAAAAGAAGAAAAGGAAAGAGGAAGTTGTAGTAAGAGACAACAGTAAAGAGGCATTGGAAGTGGAATTTAAGTGGTTAATAGTAGTAGTAGAGGCAGAGAGTTGGACATTAAGACAGACAGAGAGAGAGAGAGAGTTGGATCAAAACGTAATGGGAAAGAGTTTTGGACTCGAAAAAGCTACTAATCAGTGCTGTTGGAGTTTGTTTCTTCAAACCAACCGCCACCTAACGAAGGCGTTTAGGTTATGTATTCTAATCCCAGATAACTCAGAGGTGTCCTCCAGAAATCGATGTCCCAGATATCGGAGTCGGATGTCTCCTAATGCCGAACAGTGACAAAGAAGATGTTCAATTGATTCCTGTTCTTCTTCATCTTGATAGCTTCTACAGTAGTCGGTAAGCCAAGGTAAGCCAAGTCTTATTGCGTGGTTACCAAATTGCCAGTGCCTTGTGATGACAGCTATAATTTTGCTGAGTTAGAACCGGTTATATCTCAGAAGATGGTCCGTGCGCTCAAGCTTTGGCCATATCTTCTTTGTTTGAATACAAGTTGACTCATTTCTCCTTCTTGCCTGAGAGAGTTTTCAGAACATGTTATCAATGAGTCTTTTGCATACTTCTATTGGAGTACCACAGAAATGGTCTATGTCCGAGTCGGGCAGCTGTGAACCCGTTTTCGCGATTCTCAAGATTCTCTGGACAATTCATGTATTCAACAAATATCATCTTATGATGTTAAGGTTTACCACTAGATAGAACCTTTGGAATCAAATAACAATGAAGACCCATTAGTAAACTCTGCCAATTGAGACTTTCATGTCCTTGCTCTAGAGGGAATATCATGCTGTGAATGTGGATCATTAATACTATAGTATATTAGAGACCATAACTAAACAGGACGTGGGCATGAATATAATCTTTCTAAGATCTCAACATACCTACAGAAAAGACTTAAAGCTTGAGAAAAGATAGAAATATTAAATATTAAAATATAAAGAAACAGATTTATTGAATGAACACAAAGTTTCTGAGGCCTTTGGCTAGAACGCTAGACTTCTATTGTAGACAAGGTCTACAAAAACTTACTTGTTGCTGGTAGAATAAGCTCACTAGTTTCCCGACTGTCTTGAAGATCTTTGTAATGATCCGTAAACTTGAAATTCGAAAGTATTTCCTCATTGAGAGTAGTTGGCAAGAAATGATTGTTAGAAAAGTTGTAGAGAAAAGGCCGGTATTCTAGAATAAATGAAAGCTCATTCGATTACAAATGATCGCTAATTCGGTCCCTAACTAGTTGCACTAAGCGAACGCTTTTAGTTATCAAAATGGCGACTCGATTGTAGTCATTCTAATAGATTTAAGATGTGACCTAGAAGGTCAAGTGTCCTTCAAATGTTTACATGAGACAAATGATCTTTTCTAAAATGTCTCTAATCAAATCCTGATCAAATTCTTTCATTTTTGTCAAAAGTCAAAATTACGGATTGATGATCAATTGAGCATATAATGGAATGCATTGAACCAGAAATGTTAGAGTGATGATTCGGTTTTTAACGAAACTGAGGAACGTAATGTTATTCACATGATTGTGTGAGGGAAGGGAACACACAAATGGACCACAACTAAAATTTGTAAGGTATCTGTATATGATCTGAAGACATTGCCATAAACATGGACGATTTGTGGGCAATACAAGATGTTTCAATATATGTTTGGAAAGGAAATTCTCGAAACTGTGAAACGAAATTGTTTTGTTTTAACTGAATCGATATCTTTCAAATTGTTTATTTATCATTTAAATATGTTTTTATTTTTTTTTTTAATAAAAAGAAAATCACAAATAGATCATTTCATTTTGAAAGACCCCAAAATTTTTTTATATACTAACCATATAAAAACTGTTAAACATATGTTGATTATACTCGTAGTTTTTGGTTTTCTTAAAGAAACTTTCTTTGTTATTTAAATTTATTTAATTTTTTGTTATTATTTTTTTGAAAATTATAGTTTTTTTTATAGCACTAATGATTAGCACAACAGTAAATATGAACAAAATTTCACTTATTTTTTTTTTATTTATTTGTTATATTATTACTTTAACAATTTAAATTTTTTGTTTTGTTTTCTTAACAAAAATATTCATTATTATTTTTGAAAATTTTTATTTGTAAACCGTGTTATTATTGATTTAAAACTGGTGTTGAAATTTTACTTTATTTTGATTTATAATATTTTTTGTATTATTTTATATTTTTCAAAAATTTTCTTTTTATAAACGTTAAATATGCACATTATTAACTAGACCGATAAAATGCATTTTTAAAACCATCCTCAACATAATATCAACTTTTCTTTAAGACTTGTTTAGCATTTATTTTTTTCTTTCTTTTTTTTTGGAATTTTTTTCTTTATATTTTTCTAAAATCAAAAAATTTCTTTCTCTGATTATAAATAATTTGTTTTAACGTTAGTTTTATTTAGATTTTTTTTAGTTAAATTATAAAATTATTAACATAACAATGAAATCAACTTAAATCAAATCATGTTATGGAATCTCTCCGTCTTGTCTAGCTTTAAACGCTGGAAATGTATGTTTATTATTATTCAATGAGTCTGTTCTATATAAAAACTTTTTGTTTACACACTTCTTTTTCTTGGCTTTTTTTCCACCATTTAACTTAATTTACCATTGTTTAGCTGCTTTAGAGCAACAACAATAAAAACAACAATATGTGTTTAATATTTTTATGGCTAAAATGGCACTGCATATATGCTACGAGTATCTAAATCTTAAAGACAGCAGGCTACCAACAAAAACATAACGCGTTTTTTTATTTAATTTAAACGTATTTTTCTACGTATGTTGGTTATATTGCACTTTTACGCGCGTTTTACTCTAAACGACAGAAAATTTGTGATGTGTGTGTTGGCTTTAAGTCTCTGGCGTAGACTGATTTTAGCCAAGTTGTTAAAAGTTGTTTAGAGTTAAAAAGAGTTTTGTTGATGTTGCTTAGATTTCATTTGCAGCGCACGAGTGCTAGAAGAAATCTGCAGTTTACACGAAGAGAAAATATGTTGTTGGACTTGGTTGGAGCAATCGTTCTAACATAACTTTATCAAATTCTCTAATATTATGGTTGCTAGAAGCATATTTTGGTTGTGGCATCCAAATGATTGTCTGTAACAAGGCTGCGACAAGACTATGACTAGACTATGACTAGACTATGACTAGACTATGACTAGACTATGACTAGACTATGACTAGACTATGACTAGACTATGACTAGACTATGACGAGACTAGGACTATCTATGACTAGACTATGACTAGACTGACTAGACATGACTAGACTATGACTAGACTATGACTAGACTATGACTAGACTATGACTAGACTATGACTAGACTATGACTAGACTATGACTAGACTATGACTAGACTATGACTAGACTATGACTAGACTATGACTAGACTATGACGACTATGACTAAACTAGGACTAGACTATGACTAGACTATGACTAGGACTATGACTAGACTATGACTAGACTATGACTAGACTATGACTAGACTATGACTAGACTATGACTAGCTATACTAATTGACTAGACTATGACTAGACTATGACTAGACTATGACTAAGACTATGACTAGACTATGACTAGACTATGACTAGACTATGACTAGACTATGACTAGATATGACAGACTATGACTAGACTATGACTAGACTATGACTAGACTATGACTAGACTATGACTAGACTATGACTAGACTATGACTAGACTATGACTAGACTATGACTAGACTATGACTAGACTATGACTAGACTATGACTAGACTATGACTACTATGACTAGACTATGACTAGACTATGACTAGACTATGACTAGACTATGACTAGACTATGACTAGACTATGACTATGACTAGACTATGACTAGACTATGACTAGACTATGACTAGACTATGACTAGACTATGACTAGACTATGACTAGACTATGACTAGACTATGACTAGACTATGACTAGACTATGACTAGACTATGACTAGACTATGACTAGACTATGACTAGACTATGACTAGACTATGACTAGACTATGACTAGACTATGACTAGACTATGACTAGACTATGACTAGACTATGACTAGACTATGACTAGACTATGACTAGACTATGACTAGACTATGACTAGACTATGACTAGACTATAGACTAGACTATAGACTAGACTATAGACTAGACTATAGACTAGACTATAGACTAGACTATAGACTAGACTATAGACTAGACTATAGACTAGACTATAGACTAGACTATAGACTAGACTATAGACTAGACTATAGACTAGACTATAGACTAGACTATAGACTAGACTATAGACTAGACTATAGACTAGACTATAGACTAGACTATAGACTAGACTATAGACTAGACTATAGACTAGACTATAGACTAGACTATAGACTAGACTATAGACTAGACTATAGACTAGACTATAGACTAGACTATAGACTAGACTATAGACTAGACTATAGACTAGACTATAGACTAGACTATAGACTAGACGAGACTATAGACTAGACTATAGACTAGACTAGACTAGACTAGACTATAGACTAGACTATAGACTAGACTATAGACTAGACTAGACTATAGACTAGACTATAGACTAGACGAGACTATAGACTAGACTATAGACTAGACTAGACTAGACTAGACTAGACTAGACTAGACTAGACTAGACTAGACTAGACTAGACTAGACTAGACTAGACTAGACTAGACTAGACTAGACTAGACTAGACTAGACTAGACTAGACTAGACTAGACTAGACTAGACTAGACTAGACTAGACTAGACTAGACTAGACTAGACTAGACTAGACTAGACTAGACTAGACTAGACTATGACTAGACTAGGACTAGACTATAGACTAGACTATAGACTAGACTATAGGACTAGACTATAGACTAGACTATAGACTAGACTATAGACTAGACTATAGACTAGGACTATAGACTAGACTATAGACTAGACTATAGGACTAGACTATAGACTAGACTATAGACTAGACTATAGACTAGACTATAGACTAGACTATAGACTAGACTATAGACTAGACTATAGACTAGACTATAGACTAGACTATAGACTAGACTATAGACTAGACTATAGACTAGACTATAGACTAGACTATAGACTAGACTATAGACTAGACTATAGACTAGACTATAGGACTAGACTATAGATTAGACTATAGGACTAGACTATAGACTAGACTATAGACTAGACTATAGGACTAGAATATAGACTAGACTATATGATAGACTCTAGAATAGACTATAGCTAGCTAAGACTAGACTATAGATAGAATATAGACTTAGAATATAGATAGACTATAGACTAGACTTAGACTAGACTATAGACTAGCTATAGACCTAGACTATAGGACTAGATAAGACTAGACTATAGTACTAGACTATAGATCTAGACTATAGACTAGACTATAGACTAGACTATAGACTAGACTATAGACTAGACTATAGACTAGACTATAGACTAGACTATGATAGATATAGACTACACTAACTATATCCTAACTATAGGTCAACTATCGACTATACATAGATACAATATGGACTAAACTATAGACTAGACTACATTATAGACTGCGCTATAAACTATACTCTAGATTAGACTAGCTAGATTAGACTATAGATTGGATGAGACTATAGATTAGACTAAAGTCTAGACTATAGACTAGACTATAGCCTAACTATAGACTATACTATAGATTAAACTATAGACTATACTATAGACTACAATATAGTTTAAATTATAGACTAGAATTCACTATAGATTACGCTATAGACTAGACTATATATTATACTATAGGCTAGACTATTGACTACGCTGTGGACTAGACTATAGATTAGACTAAAGACTAGAATAAAGACTAGACTATAGGCTAAACTATAGACTACATTATAGACTACACTATAGACAACACTATAGCCTAACTATAGACTAGACTATAGATTAGACTAAAGACTAGACTATGGAATAACTATAGACTATACTATAAACTACACTATATGCTACACTATAGACTTTACTATAGAGTTGACTATTTATAGCTAAAGTTAAAAGATCTATATAGCCATTTGCAATCAGATTTTTCTCTGTGTATAAAGTAACAGCCAGTTTGTGTGCTGAAGCCGGCATTGTTTTGACTTAAAAGACATTTTTATACTTTGTCTGCAGTTTTGGTAGCTAAAAATTGTTATTCTTGTGTTTTCCGGCATAAATAGAGAACACTTTGTTAAATAGTTTGTTTGTCAGCACATACATATTTTTGCTAGCGTTCGCCAGAATCATTATTTGTTTAGTTGACTTTGTAAATTGTTTTTGATTATAACAAATATATTAAACTTTCATTTTTTGTTGTTGTTACTAAGTAAGTAAAGTTATAATTAATTGAACTTCACCTTAAATTCATTAATTATTTTTTGTAAATTTGTCTCATTTTATTCGAAAGTCTATAAAGGCTTTAAGGCTTGAAAAGATTTTATTTATATGAAAGGTTTGCTCATCTTTATAGTTCTCTTTTTTTGCTTAACATAATTCCAATATGATCAATGATGATCTTTTCAGTTTTATCATTTGTATCTGTCAGCGATAGTGTTGTGTGTGTTCGTTATGATCTGCCGTCATTAAAAATAATGATGTCAAAGAAATTAACTAAAACTTGTGTAAATGTTGCAAAAAGAAAGATATGGGTGTTTCCCTCATAAAGACAAGGAGTCCGAAAGAGTTATTCAAGAATTCAAATCTAAAAGAAGTAGAACCATTGTGATTTAGTTTCAAGGAAGGTCAAGGCTTCAAACCAATTCTGAACGATGAATTGTCGAATAATCAAGGTTCCTTGGCAAAGCATTCTAGATACGATCGGTGTTCGCAGACGATTGAATGGGTCGTTTACTAAAATCGTATTATCTGCTACGATCATCATATGTTGCTGTGGAAAAAAGATTCTCTTAAAATTAATTAAATGTTTGTTCCAAAACGTTTACAACTGATTA